CATGTCAGGAAATCGGGCGCCCATGGAAGATTGTAAGGAACCCCGTGAATGAAGCTAGACCTCCTCTACTAGAAGATAGGAAAGCCAAGATGAAAAGAGCTAGATCTCCATCCATCACTTCCTCCCCTATTCCCCAGCTTGATGGGATATGTACACCATCAACACCTAACACCAATCTTCCTTCCAGGCCTAAGGTTACTAAGGAATCTGATCCTGAGTCAGCGCCTGAACCTGAACTTGATCCTGAGTCTGCGCCTGAACCTGAACCTGAACCTGAGACTGAGTCTGCGCCTGAACCAGAACCTGATTCTGAGTCTGCCCCTGAACCTGAACCTGAGGCTGAGTCTGCGCCTGAACCTGAACCTGAGACTGAGTCTGCGCCTGAACCTGAACTTGAGACTGAAGCTGGTCCAGAATCTGAAACTGAACTTGAAATCGAACTAAAACCACCTGTGAACATTGCAAACCCAGTTTTTACTTTCTGTGAAGAAAAAGATTGTACAGTTTGCCCAGTTAGACACAACGCAATTAGAGCATATGAAAAAGTAGACAACCAAATTAAATATCAGTTGGTTAATAACTACAGGAAGTTCTGTTGTTTCTCAGCAATGGATGACGAGGGAGTCAGCTGCGAAATATTGCACTGGCATTCAAAGTCTAATCTGTGTCTATCATATGAATCATTTATATAGAAAATAAATAATGTAGTTTTTCCATTTATGAAAGTTGTAAACTTGTAATACAATTGTAATTGTAATTGCTACAAAATAAATATTTAGATCTAAAAAAATATAACATTTTAAATCATCCAGCAATAAGTAAAATATATATGTAAAAGTAAATGAACATTGTTTCGAATTTAAGCTTTGAATTCTAGCAGAGTCTTACACAGGTCAAGTGACGCCAGCAAAGGAATTGAGTTTTTGGCCACAAATCCCAATTTTCTATTACCTATATCTCTACAACCAGACAATGGAAACCTTTGATATTTCAAGCTTAGATTAATTGATCCATAAGAATTCATTGTTTGAAATATCTAAGGGTTGTAAAGATTTAGGGATTAAAAAATCAGGAGTTTTTTTTACAAAGACTCGATTCCTTTGTCATCTTTTGTATGCGCTTTTTTTGGGGACTCATTGTAAATTCAATTTGTGCATAAAAGTATAAAATCGCAACTGCTATTGTAAGTCGAAATTAGATTCTGATGCAACAGAATGCACCCAGATATATCACCCACCACACCTTTCCATCTGAGTCACTTTCATTTAACTTTTATATATTCTAAAATACATTTATTTCAATACATTCATTTACAATGACATATATATATCCTTATTTTTTTTAATCTTAAAAATAGATTATTTTTATATTGTCTTAGCCAAATAATTATTGTTCTTTCTTATCAAAATCCAATTTGATTGTTTTTTTTCCGGAAAACTAACACACATATTTGTATCAATAAACCTCAATTTTTGGCTGAAATTTGTTGCCCTTATTCTGATATGATTTGATCACAATAACAGTTTTTTATCTAGGTATCACATTTATCACATCTATCACATTTACATTATATATACA